TTATGGGAAAGTAGTTCCAGTTTGAAAAGTGAAAATTTTGGTGAGAGTGAAACAAGTGATAGATTCTACTTAGTAGCAGGATAAAATATACTATAGAAAAAGGAGATGACTAAGACATAATAATATTGAAAAAGAAATAGAGTAAGGATTGTAATAGACATAATAATTAATAATGAATTTCAACTTCAGCAAACCTTCAACAATAATATGCCTTCTCTAAACAATAAGGAGAAGCGCTTGCGTACTGCTGGCTCCCAAGGGGGCCGTCTCAAAAAGCTATGCAATCTTTCCAATTCTCCAATTCACTCTTCCATATCCCTCATGACAAATCTGGATCCGAAGACCAGCAGGTCAATTCTGATCCAGCTACCACAAAGTCAGTTATTGCAAAAATATCAAAAAACCTGCCACTCTATCCAAAATAAATTCCAATAATGCTGGAAGCAGTAGCAATACTAGTAGCTGTAATGGACTCTCAAGGAGCATACTATGGTGCAGAGTACAGCAAGAGAGAGAGCAGTTAAAACAGCAGGAAAAGCTAGATATAGACGGGAATGATAATAATTGGGAGGATCTGGTAAGAGAAGTTGAAAAGAAATGGCCAATGGTCAGCAAAGAAATGAGAGCTACTGTTTTACAAAAAGGTATAACTTAATATTATAAATTAAAAATCTAAAATAGGTATGAAGATAAACTAAGAGCTAATAATATATAAAGGAATTACAGATATACATAGAGTTCTGTATCGGAAAAAGTAAAGCTCCTCCAATAATCACGATCTTGACCATTACGTTCAAGTATTCCAGTTCATGAGCTGGCAGTTGAAACATCCAGATCTTCCTCGGAGAGTTCATCACTAAATACTGCTGTTGGCTGGAGAAGAAGCAAGCATACAGCAGAAAATATCATTCGGTGGGAAAAGAGTTGAATTAAGACTAGAACCATTGTTGCTAGTCTGAGGGGCAAACATGCAAAGTCACAAAGTATGCTGAATGATGAAGGCACATTAATTGCAGTATGTGAGTACATAGAAGGTGCTAGTGAGAGTAAGCATTTCTATCTTGTACTTTTAACTTGCCAATGTTCAGTCTATAGGTACTAATTGATAATAATTTAGATGATTCGGGATATGGACTTGCAAAGGTAGTCACAAAGTATGGGGCAACTCGTACAAGTTACCAAGATGCAGAACTTCGGGTATCTTGTGTTTATCAAACCTTGATTGACAAGCATACAAAGGGACGAATGAGTGTAACTGCATCAACTGGAATTTGCTAGTTGAAAAAGTTAGGTTTTGAGTGGAAGGAGGTTAGAAAAGGTGTCTATATCGATGGAAATGAGAAGCCAGAGGTGGTTTTTTATCAGCAGCACTGCTTTCTTCCAAGGTGGAAGGAGCTGGAACCAAGAATGCCAAAATAGTCCTCTGCAGGAATTTTGGATCAAACTCCCTTGCCGGCTGGAAAGAGACTTCTAATTCCATGTGCACATGATGAATGCACATTTCACTCAAATGATGGAGTGCATCATCGTTGAGTCCATAAGAATAAGCATCTCATCAGAAAGAAATCAAAGGGACAAGGTCTCATGGTGTCTGATTTTATTTTTCCCGGCCATAGGCTTGAAATGCCATCCATAATTCCACTTCCTTCAATACTCACAACTAGAAACATGGAGCTAATTCCTAGCCTTCAGATCAATCCAAGACAAGCTACAGAATACATTAAAGTTGGCAATAGATCTTGGTGGAAAGGCGATAATCTAATTAATCATGTTCTTAATATTGCAATCCCTATATTTGAAGTAACATTTCCCAATGCCAAAGCTCTCTACCTTTTTGATCACACAACCTCTCATACTGCAGATACCATAGATGCCCTTCGAGCATCTCATATGAATATAGATCCTGGTGGAAAGCAGCCTCAAATGCGAAATGGATGGTATTATAAACTAGATGGAGTTACCCTACATACCCAGTATGTAACCGGTATGGGTACTTGGTTTTTAGTTTTGTTTTGTGTTATGTTTTAAGTATCGCTTTGATACTTGGTTTGTTTTAAGTATTGTTTGATACTTAGTTTTGTTTTGTGTTATGTTTTAAGTATTGCTTTGATACTTAGTTTGTTTTAAGTATCGTTTGATACTTAGTTTTGTTTTGTGTTATGTTTTAAGTATCGCTTTAATACTTGGTTTGTTTTAAGTATCGTTTGATACTTAGTTTTGTTTTATGTTTTGTTTTAAGTATCGCTTTGATACTTTATTAGTTTTACCAAGGTGTATCAATTGATACCCTTGATTAGTTTCGTTCATGCTGGACATGAACAGATTTGTGTATTTAAAAGACTGCCTGTTTCTACGATAGAAAAGGAGACTTCGACAGACAGTATTTTAATATACTTGGTTGAACGGTTACTTCTCTGTACCTCAGTACACCCTCAAAGCCTCCTTTAGTTCTCAGCTCTCGCCTCCTCTCTGGAAGAGCAGGTCACCTGCCAACTATCATATCTATTACCGATAATGTGATCAGCACCTTGCGAACACATTACACAGCAAATGAGCTTTGACAAGAATGACCTGTCTATACCTGAAGGTTAGAGAGGAAAGCCTAAAGAGTGTAAGCAGGTTTTGCGGGAATATGGTTTATGGCCACAGGGTGGATTGCGACTTGACTATAAGAGCAGAAAATTGAAGCAGGACAAAAGCCACTCTAGCAATTCTTGTTGTACTAGAAGGCTGCTCTCTGTACAGCGTGACTTTTTAGAGCAAAAGTCATGCTTGGAGGAAGAGATTGAGAAATGTGGTCATCTTTGCTTATTCTTTCTCAAGTTTCATTGTGAGCTCAATTGGATAGAATACAGATAGGGAAGGGCCAAGTGGTTTACTCACAAGCATTGTCAATACAATTGGTCCTCTTCGGTTAAGACTGTTCCCAAGGCCTTGGAGGAAGTACCTCCACTTTTGCTTCTCAAGTATTGGTGGAAGAGTACTCGAATACTGGATGCTTACTATAATGGACTCCAGTATGGGACTAATCAATTTACCAATACTGTATATAAAAGTCATCGTCGTGTTCCTTTAGCTTAAGCCACTTATTAGATAGTTTCTGCATATATAAATATCTTTTTACAATTCAGAAGGTATAAACTTCTCTTTCCACTTCATTCCACATGTTTTCATTTTTGGCCCAGTGAACTGTAAAGTCTCCAATATTATTAGACATCTGCTTGGGCCATTCAAAGCACTGAAAAGTACTGCGCATCTAGAATAGGCAAGTTGTGATTCTTTAGTTATTGTTATATCGTAGTAAATATCATTGCACATTACTAATCATGCCTTGGCAACTCTTGGCTGAATCCCGATCCGCAGCAACGGAATTTCTGTTTCACCGCCTTTAGTCACTTTCCACCGTATCATACTTGTAAAAGAAAGGGGGGGCGGAATGTCAGATGCCTTCGTACCGGGACGGCGTCTTGGCAACTTGGATGGGCACCGCGTTTCAGGGGAACAAACACATGGCAACGTCACACTGCCTTTTTTCCGGATGACCTCACCGGTGATACGGTATGCATTCCTCCATACAGAATGGAACTGGCGTTTGGCAAAACCCTTCCGTTCTAAACCAGCCATTATAGAAAGGTCATTTATTTCTTTCAAACCAGACAGTACATACCTCTATCCGCTCAGGTCACCAATATACAAAGGAAATTCTTCAGGCCCATCCCCCTCGTATCCTTGAACTTATACGAATGCCTATTACCACTTTGTTAGATCTTCATGACTAGGTTCTTGAATGTGAGCTCTTTCAGGCAACACGTCATGTCTCTATCGAGGAGCAGCTTATCATGGTTTTATGGATAGTTGGCCATAGAAAAAAAAACAGAGAAACACTGGAGGTGTTTCAACATAGTTGTAACGTGTTATGTGTTGCTACAAGATTGAAACATTGAAGTAATACATCCGAAATATAGTACTCTAGTAGCTGACCGAGGTGTTATCCGGGGCTCGCATCCCCTCATGCCGAGAGATCGTTGGGGTTAGTATGACCGGTAGCACAGGAATGATTGTGAACACTAGAAGGTCGGGAGGGTCGGGAGTGTCGATTTGCGGAAACTGCAGGAACGGGGATCGGGTGGAATATTGGATTCGCGGGGACCGGTGGGCTGCGCTGGATGAGGAGGCCTATGTGTTGTCCTTGAGTGCTGATTGTATATGAGATGGAGATGCTGCGAGGGTTTACTTACTTTTCATCTACAGCCCTGCGAGTGATCGGGCATGATCGCTCAATCAGGTAGTAAGGTAGCATATGCACTCAAGCCCAATACGGTCTACGACGGATGGTAGAGCGCCTCTGGCCATCCGAACGGGTGGCCACTGGCTGCCGGCCTACCCCGCCACCCCTCGAGGTTGTCCTGGATGCGGTGGGTGGCGGTTGACTGCATCCGAAAGGATCCCTCATTGTAGGCTAGATATCCACCGTCCTGGAGTGCCGGATAGACAGCGATCGCGAGCGGGAGGACTCCTGAGATAGGCTACATGTTCGATCCAAATGGCAGGCCATAGTATGTGTTCAATAATAGCGTCATACCATTGACTCAGGCTTACTCGTAGCTATATAAAGGACTGGCGGTCTAGCCCCAACTACAGCTACTACGCAGTATAATGCCAAATCAATAATCCTAAACCATTACGAAGAGCCCCAGTCTTGTATGCTACCTAAACCATACAACAGGTTCAGCGAAGGAAATAGGGAAGGCACGCACACTCCCAGTATGGAGAAGATTCGTTGTGCCCCTGTCGTTGCCTGACCTAGATCAAGAGGCAACAATATTATATTAATTATTACAAGGTAACATGTTGATAGATGTACAAATCCCAGTTGTGAGGGTCCCATTCATCCGATCTGCCAGCGGCCCCTATTAATCCCCTCCCTCATCCCCCTCCTCCACTGCCTCCTCCTCATCATCATCAGCATCCGCATCATCGGCATGTGTATCGGCACCTGATTAATCGCAACTAGCAGGTTCTGCGGGAATTCCTGCGAAGATAGAGAACTGCCCACAGGCAGCGGCGAAGGTCATCTTGACACCTCTGGTGGCCGTGTTTTCAATCCTTGTAGGGGTAATGATCTCATCACACGCGCGGGGGCCGAGGCCGGTTTGATGACTGGCATTCAAGCCCCAAGAGTATGCTTGTCCCTCCATCGAGACGGCAACATTGTGGTCTGTGCCGCAGCCAATGGTGGAGAACCTGATGCCGGAGACAGCATGTGGGGTCCTGAGATAGCGGGGGTTGCCCCTCACGTCACAGACGCAATCTTCCGCTGAATGCGCCGCAGGGTCTATACCGAGCTGGCTACTGTCAAGACGGCCCCAGACCAGGAGCTCACCGGTCTCGGTCAGGGCGGTTGAGTGATGTTCCCCGGCGGATATCTGAACGATCGTGTACCCTGCAAGACTCTGCACGATGGTAGGAACGGGAATTACTGTGTGTTCTACACCAGCGCGCGGAGGTCCGTATATCCTGCATTGTCTATATTGATTGAGCTCCCATGCCCAGACCCTACAGTCCCGGGTAATTGCGAAAGAATGGTATGAGCCGGTAGCGACGTAGGTGACCTGGTACCGGGGAAGGGACACCTGGCGAGGGTTCTGCCCGGTGAGGCGACGTCTCTCAGAGACACGCCTCCCGAGCTGGGATTGCTGACCGTTGCCCCACGCGTACACGTCTCACTCCTTCGCAAGGCCAAGGACGTGATTAGTACCAATAATGACCCGAACGATGTTCCTGAGCGTAGGTAGCAGGACTGGAACATCCTGTACTGTACGTACACTAGTCCTCTCATTGAATCCGAGAATGCCGTCGGCACACTAAACAATAAATTAACCTTACTAACCCTAAAGGGAAAAATAATCACATACCCTGAATGTTCCCCATCCGTAAACCCTGCCAGTCGGTAACAGCGATCGAAATACTGTGAAGAACATGCTCATGCGCAGGAGTTATTCCAAGAAGATCAATTATAAAGCGATTGAGTGGCTTTTCACGGATGATTAAGTGAGAGAGGTGGTCATAGATAATTTCTTTCTTTTTTGGTGTTTCTAACTCCGAAGGCCAGTGTACATATATCTGCGTGGGTGCATTGTAGAGATTGGGCGCTTGTTCCGGTTGGTAGTGGGAGATTGGAGCACGGCGGCGGGAATTTCTGTGCTCACACGGGATCATAAAGAAGTTGGAGAAAAGGTGGGTGATTGAGATCGAGTCTAAGGATGATGGTGAGGCAGCGAGGAAGGCAGTGGCACTTGAGAGGTTTAGGAAGATGACGAAAAATCCGTCATCTCTAAAATGCTTGCGTATATGGGTAAGATAATATCCTCACTCTCGTCCACCTCTCTCATCTTCCTGTTCTCGCTTCCTCCCTCGCTATCCTTCTCTCCTCGCTGCATTTTCCATCATCCCCTAACCATCTCTTCATACTCCTCATTCTGCTATCGTTTAGAATCCTCTTACTTTTTTTCTCTATCAATTTTACTTGAAGCATGTGGTCTAATGGATTCTCACTAGGTTCGGGTGATCGAGAGCCTATTCCCGCTAGAGGTGGCAGTATTTCATCCAGCTATGATACCTACCGAGTCCACACACCCACATTGGGGAGTCGAGTCCGACTGGTACCAAAAATAGTACATCCCTCACCTGCTCTAAAACTCTGGGAAACCCCGACCCCTTTGAAAAAAAGAAAGGCCAGTTCACCACTGCCGATTCCCATGCCTCTTCCAACTCTCAACTCCGATCTTCTATCCTCCCCCCCATAAACCAACCTCAATTCCCCACACCGGTTCCACTCGCATCACCTTCGGTGAACTTCCTATTCTTCTGAAGAACAGCAGGCCGTCGGGCACTATTGGCATTTCCAACTCCGAGGTCAAGGCTTTCTCAATGAAACCCGCCTTTACCCTCCGAGAACTGCGGCAGCCGAGAATATTGGAACTACTCCAAATAGTGGATGATGACCTGTGTTTGGAACACGTCTCAATAAAGGACTTCCAAAACTGGACCTCCGAAAACCCGGAACTCGAAGATAACAAACATATCCATTATGAGTACAACTCCCTTACCGAGCGGCTTATTATAAAATGCATGTAGACCGCCACCCACGACTCCCTCCACTATTTTTTCAATCATACTTTCTCTTCCTTTCTTGCCGGAAAAATTGGATCACTAAAAACAAGTCAGTTGTTTTCTGTTGGCACAGGCACTTGTATGTAACCCCAAATCCCCTTAAAAATCTAGCTAACTCTGTTCAGCGTTTCGAGGTTTCCAAGGCGATTGGAGTGGTGCATCTTTAAAAATTCCAGATGCCTTCGCACAATTGAACGGCTCGAGGTTTCCTGCGATTGTTTGTGAGACTGGATGGTCGGAGGGCTGGGAGAATCTCATGGAGGATACACGTCTATGGCTTCTTGGTACCAAAGGGCAGACCAAAATTGTTATTGTTTTGTCCTTTGTCGAAGCCAAATCAAGGAATGACCCGGTTGGGGGGCCTCGGTCAGAGGGCGACATCGCCGATAGGAGCAGCAAAACTGAAGAACAAGCCGCGATCGACAGTATAGACCAATCAACCTGCCAAACAGATTTGGCACAAATTTTAGAGCAGCTCAATCAGCGAGCCAAGCTGCAAAAGCCCTTAATTGGAGAGCTAACGGCCACCTTGCACTTTTTTCGCGCCTCTGAGGATTATAAAGATATCGTCGATTTTTTTAGTTCGACAGTTCTCCCATTACCCGCCAGCGATTGTACTAGACCCCAGGAATTTCAGATTACCCTACGCGATATCTTCGGTAATGATCTCCCTGAAGGCATGGATCCTGAGGATCCAATCACCTTCTGTTTACGCGAACTCCAGGCATACGTTACCCAGTCCCTAAAAAATACCACCTGGGACAGAGCCCTTCAACGGGCACAAAAGCTTATGGAAGCGGCAGGGGTATGGGAGGAAAGGGAGACTTTCACACAGTCTAAACGCCGGAGGCGCCATTGACCGCGGGGACTAAAACTTTCTGTGTACCATATGGTTAAGGGGGGGGGTACTAAGTATGTGTACTAGATGAAGCATCGGTCATCACTCAATTGAAGTTTTCCATCCTTTACTACACTTCATTCCTTTCATTTGACGCCGAGTAATAGTATGTGATCGCCCAAATTCCCACCCGCCCAGCTGGCTGACAAACTTAATATTATGAATCCACCCCCCCAGAGTCCGCAATACATCTGTCCAGAGCCAATACGCCTGTAAAGCCTATTCGCCATAATCCCGAGAGTACAGAGAGCTGGTCCTAGCGCTCCACGCAAACAAAACCCACATTAAGATCCCCGTACAACGGAAGACCAAGCTTCCATTTAGTCTACTCACAGGCCCTCAAGCCTGGCCCATCGCACAGCGCGATCCCGGAATCACTCCAAATTGACATTTTATCAATCAATCCGGCAACGTTAACTTTGAACTAATTCTGCGGGGATAGGCCGCTGGGCGAGTATGGTAAATCGCTGTGCCGATTACCTAATGCGAGCACTAACCAAAGGTGGATGACGGACCGCTAGGAGAAGACACTAGTACTCAAGTACTAGTAGCGCTTACCTAATCTGCGCGCTAGCTAAGAGTGGACGAAAGACCTTTGGGTGAGTATACAGACCAGTAAACAAGCCTGTCACAAGGATAACGATCCCAAATTCTTGCGAAATCTCCGTATCCCCTGGGGCTAGCGACGTCTACTGGCCGAGTTACAAGCAGAACACCTCAGCCATACTCCCCCAAGCCAGGTATCCCTCTAACTCTCGTGCTAAAATTCCATGAAATTGGGCATGCGAGCGAAGGGATAATGAAGGCCCTATATGGGGGCAGGGGAGTCCACGAACGAGTGGCTTGAGCGGCTAAAGCGTTGCCGGGGGTCTTTTCATGAAGACTGTTAATCTATCATAGTATCATAGTTGGGCTTAAGAGAGGCAAGCGGCGCAGTTCTATCCTAAATATATGATACCCAACAACTAATGTGTGAATAAAATTATCTCTAAAATTTAATGTATTTAGGAGGCTTGCCTCTTAACACATCGCAAAACGAAAAATGAGAGAAAAAAGAAAAAAAGACCAGTGATTCTGGACTTCATGCGAATAACAGTTCTCATATTGAAGCCCAAAAAATTGGTTGTCTTTTACCGGCTTCTTTCCCTTTCCTTCAACCCTTTTTTTCTTTTTTCTTCTCCCACCCCCCTCATCCAGCTTCATTTTTTCTCTTTTCATTTTTAGCTTTCTTTTTGATTTCCCTCTCCTGATGTTGTTCCCTTCTCTTCTCAAACTTTCAACCATGTAATTTAGGTGATTCATTCTCCATCAAGTCCTCCCCTTTTCTTTAGCAAGAATTTAACTTCACTCATAATATGATACTCTTTTCGGCCGGAGGATGAGATACTTCAATGCTTGTTTATATTGCAGTGCGGGCCCTCCAAAACTAATACTCCCCGAACAGACCCCATAACGATATGCGAAAATTACCTCTACCTGGGTGGCTCGCCGGTTAGAATTTGCTGGCGAAAATTTTTTTTTCAGATCCCGGGAGAATAGGAGTTTCTTCTTATATTAAATCCTAACGATTGCGCTTACCTCTACCTTTTCGGTTTTCCCTTCTATCTGATCTTGCTTCCCTTTTGCTCTCCCTATCCTTTTGCTCTTCATATCTTTTTGCTCGGACCTCAATTTTTGAGTTTTGAGGTGGTAAGCGCCACGTTTTTCCTTGTTAAGGGACGCGATATCATTACCCATACTGTAGAGCACATACAGTCGCACAGAGATGTCTCGGAGGGCTAAGATAGAGAGTAGTGGTTCGGACGAGGGGACATCTAGGAGAAAGGTTTGCTGCGTAGAAGGCAGAGTCCAGCTGCGGTTAGGTATTCACACTTAGAATGAAAATCAAGTTCCCCGGAAACCCAGCAGGAAAAATATCGTTGTTTTTGTATATACCATACTTGCTGAACAAATCTCTTTCTTGCCATCATAACCCCTCACTCGTAGACGTCGCAAATTCAACCATCCAACCAACTTTCCCGTGAATTTTTGCTGGGTAATTATCGGCGCTAAAGCGAGGAAAAAAAGAAAAAAAACTCCAACCCCAGAAAAACTTATGGGCAACAACCACCCCCACCTTCTCTTGCACCCCACCACACCTTTCCATCCATCATCCACCACCGCTACCACTACTAATACCCATAGTATATACTTAGGGCCCGTTTCTATGACAGGTCCATTTCGCGACCGTTTCCCATACCAAAATGGCGGTCCTCCCGGTTTGAAATGGTCGGAAACGATCACTTTGTATGGGGAAACGGAACGGAACGGTCGTATCTAAACCGGGCCTTATCCGTGTACTTATACGTACTGTGGGTGATGTCCAGAAATCCCTCACCTTCACCGCCGGCGAGTCCGTAGATTGATGACGGCACAAAGACGATTATTGGGATCGCATTCAGGAACACTACAAGTTCTATTGCCTATACAAATCCAGTTTGTACTTGTTTTTCTATATCCAGGGGGTCCGACCGACGACACGTAGGATGGCAAAGCAGAGGTTATCGTGAATGAAGGAGGTTCGATTGTTACGGGTGAATGGATGTTGATGGGATGAGAGGCTGACGGAAGACGCTAGATCGACAAATTCCTTCAGTGCTATCATTGGTTGG